TTCAAGGCACATAAATCACAAGAATTCACAAATAGTTCACATAAGTAAACACATACTTCCATGTCGACATCCTCAAGCTTTTACAAACTTTGCACATAACAAGATAGGCACATCAAATCACTTCTCACAATCACATATAACTTGGTGGTATGGAAATCAACTAAGGCAATCAATTCACATATTCTCATACAAGGTACACATACCGTATGCTCGTCACAACAAGGGGGATTCTACAAGAGTTAAAGTTAGCCATACATACCTTTCTTGAGCTTTCCTTTAATTACTACGATATTCCGGAAATTCTAGCAACTTCAATCTATTTTGGGACATAGCAAAATTGAACACAAATTAGGAAGATATTCATAATTCTAGCTCATTTGAGCATTTTATCAAATACTAGTTGAGTATCTTGATTTCAAATCCCCTTTTCAAGATTTTCTTCATTCCCTAACCCAATCTTTACTTATTTATATTAAACGATCTTCCCATAAACCTAAGTTGTACATGCATGTATACATAATAGCATTACACCCAATAATCATACCTCAATACCCCATCTTATACTCCAAACTCAAAATTAAAACCTAGGATATAGAATCTTACCTCTTAGATGAAGAACTTGTGATTGGGTTCTTTGATTCTTGAAGATTGATGCAAGGTTTGGATGATTTAAATGTTGGGTTCCTCCTTCTCTCTCTAAAATGCTCTCACCTCTCTCTAAAATCAGTAGAAAATGACCCCAAATGAAGCCCCAAAGGCTATATATTGAAATGGGGTCGGGTTATAAAAATTAAAAAATTAACCCTCCGATGTCAATTCTGCTATAGCAGAATGGACCGCAGAACGCGAATGCTGGCCGCATAATGCACCGCAAAATCGGCGCCCAAAACTGGGCTACACTGGCCCAGTCTGCGACAGAAATGCGACCGCAGAGTCAACAATGCGACAGGAATGCGGTCGCAGATTTGACACAGGATAGCATTTTCCAGCCTTTGGTAATTTGATCATAACTTTGCGTAGGAATGTCCAAATGACAAACGGTTTGAAGAGTTGGAAACTAGACTCAAAGACCTTTCATTTGATAGGTTTTTCATCACATAAAACATTATACATATTTAGATGTGCTTGTTAAAAGTAGGGACTAGTGCAAGATTGTTGGGAATTTTTGCCTATTATGGACTTTTTCCAATTTTTCTTAGACTTTGGCCTTTCCTTGGACCCCAAATTACTTACCATAAGACTTATACACATATTTACCAAATCCAATGGATGTACACCATGTTAATAGCACATAAAAATATTATAATAAGCCTACGTGACACCACGAAATCCTAAATTACTTAGCGAAAATTTCCGGGGCCTTACAAGTAAGGTCAATAGGATCAGAAAAAGTGGAAGGAGAAATAGGGACAAGAGAGGAAGGAGCAGAAGAATTAGGAAACCCATTAGGACTAGATAAAGGTGCATCCATATCACCACTAGAAGAAACATCGGAGCCAGGTTCATGAGTAGAAGTTGGAATAGGTGCTGGTACATGGTCAATGGAAGGTGATTGTTCTGGTTCTGGAAGTACAGATGGCAGATTTGGGAACAGTGTCTTTGGTGTGGAGGAGTTGCAAAATGGAAAAATGTTCTTATGAAAAATCACATCTCTTGAAATAAGTGTTTTCCTATCAGACAACTGTAGGAGTTTGTAAGCTTTCTTTTCCAAGTGGATAACCTATAAAAATACATGCAACTGACCTAGGAAAAAACTTATCCCTGAAGGGTTTAGGTGCAACAGCATAACAAAGACATCCAAAACTTCTCAAGTGTGTATATGTAGGCAGCACACCATAAAGTGATTCATAAGGAGTTTTGCCTGACAAAATAGTGCTGGGGAATCTATTTATCAAGTATGTAGCTGTCAATACACAATCACCCCAAAAATAAATTGGTAATTTGGATTGAAAAAATAAGGCTCTTGCTGTTTCTAACAAATGTTTGTGCTTTCTTTCTACAATCCCATTTTATTGGGGTGTGTAAGGAACTGTGGTTTGATGGATGACACATTTAGATTGAAGGAATTGAGAAGCTTCATAGCTGGAACCAAGTTCCAAAGCATTATAAGTTCTAATGGATTTTATTTTTAAATTGAATTGTGTTTCAACCATGGAAAAGAAAGATTTCAGAATAGACAATGCATTTCCTTTATGACTTAGTAGATGAGTCCAAGTATATCTACTACAATCATCTACTATAGCAAGAAAATACTTATAATGTCTTTGTGTAGGAGTGTGATAGGGTCCCCATATATCAACATGAAGTAGATCAAAAATATTCTGAGAATAGGAAACACTTTGTGAAAAAGGCAATCGTTGCTGTCTAGCAAGTGGGCATATATCACAAATGAAAGGTTGTCTATTACAATAAGTGATATCAGCACAATTAAGTTTTTGCAGTTTTAAAAAAGGAAGATGGCCTAATCTGTTGTGCCATAGTGCATGAGATTTGGTACTAGTCACATTATTTGCAGAAATATAAGGAATAGAAGCAACAGGATGAACACTTTGTGGATCTTTAACTTGGACAGTTTTGGATTTGAGAAGATATAGCCCAGCTATCACCTTACCAAGTTCCAACGGCCTCTTCAGAGAAGGTCCTTGTAAATAACAGGAACTGCTGGTGAGAATCAAGAGTGAAGATGTACCAACTAACAATTTGTGGACAGAAATGATATTATATTTAAAGGTTGGCACATATAGGACCGTATAAAGTGTAATAACAGAATTAAGTACCACAGAACCATAATAGGATACTTTCATTTATAGCCATTAGGTAGAGTAATGAGATATGAAATGGGTAAAGAAACAATATCTGAGAGTAAAGATTTGTTGGATGTCATATGGTCTGTTGCTCCAGAATCCAAGATCCATGTATCAGAATTTTGTACCGAAGCTAGAAAAGTACACTTACAACCAGTATGGATAGAGCAAGCAGAAATACCTGAAAAATTGGCAGCAGCAGGGACAGACTGAGATTGAGCATTCCACCACTTGGACATTCTGAAGGATGTTCATTAGTTGATTGTACTGTTCCATGGTTATGGCATGAGGAGCTGGAGCATTGCTATTAGAGTTTTGACTGCAGTTATCAAGTTTTCTATCAGAAGAGGTGCATACATTGGCAGCCACTCTCATATTCCTACTGACAGGCTTTGAATTCTGTGGGTACCCATGTAGTTTGAAACATTTCTCAATTGTATGTCCATTCTTTTTGCAATATTTGCAGAACAATTTCTTTGAGTCACCATTATACCTCTGAGTTTGGTTAGTAGTACTGAAATTATATCTTGGGTTAGAGTTGGATGGACCAGTTGTATATTTAGTGCCACTGGGGTTGACAGTTGAACCAGCAGAGAAGGAGGCTACATCAGATTGAAAAGCTGGAACATTGTGTATGCCTCGCTGTTTTTCATCTTGAATTATTAAGGAATATGCCTTGCTCATATCAGGCAAAGGCTCCATCATCAGAATATTACCTCTCGCATTACCATATAATTCATTCAAGCCCATTAGAAACTGCATTAATTTTTGATTTTCTGCCCGTTTAGTCATTTTGTGTTTTCCTTCACAAGTGCACTCACAGACACAATAAGATTCAGCATCTAGAGAATCCATCTCATCCCATAACCTCTTTACTTTGTTGAAATATCCTCCAACATCAGAAGAACCCTGGGAGACAGAACTTAAATCCTTTTGTACTTCATACATTCTCGCACCATTTGACTGACCATATCTATGATTGAGTTCATCCCAGAGACTCTTAGCAGTCTTAGAGTATATCACACTTTGCGCAATGTCAGGATCAAGGGAATTAAGGATCCAGCTAATAATCATGTTATTGTATTGTTCCCACTGGTCAAACAAAATGGAATTTTGAGGAGGCTGCACATAACTTCCATTTATGAAACCTATTTTCTTTTTAGCTGACAAAGCAATTATGATACCCCTTCTCCAAGCCCCAAAGCAAGTACCATTGAATTGCTTCGCGACTAACACAATACCAGGATTATCTGAAGGATGCAAATAAAATAGATGAGATGAAGGCAGGTTAAGCTCATTTTCGAGTCCAAAAGTATCTGGTCCATTGTCATCAGGATCACTTCGATCACCCATTGATGTTGGATCAAGTTTACCAGTTGACAAAAGCGAACACGTTCCGCAAAAAAAAAAAATCTCAAAATCGGGTCATAGAATCAGCTAAGCCACACCAAAATTACAACAAATCGCCATCAAAAACTTGAGGCTACGAGAAACATCAGCCAAATCTTAAGAAGAACACCGTAACTCAAGAAAAAATCCATGAAATTATGGTTTCCAAAAAAAATTAGGGCTTAAAAGAACAGTATCTCGAACCTTCAGCTTTCTTTTATGCTTCAGGTTTGAAGGAGACTTCGGGACTAACTCGAATGCGCAATGAATTGCTCTGATACCATGTTAGATTCGATAGAAAATGAAAGAAATCAACGTAGATGAATCGAGAGAGAAATGAATCTGCTATTGAAAAAATCAGCGTCCAAGCTATAAGTGTGTGTATTTATATACAGACCCAAAATCAGGAAAATAAAATCCGGCTCATCTACCATTTACAATCTAAATAAATATGAGCTTAGCAAACTAGTGGCCCAAATACAAAATTAACAGCCCAACTAATAACAACACAACTATTCTAACAAAATTAGAGAACATCAAAGGAAGAAAAATTGGGGAAAGAACAGAGAAGGAGAGGTAGAAAGACGGAGAGAGACAGAGAACGCATGAGAGAGAACAGGGATGGGAAATAACTAATTCCTTATTCACTTCCTAAATATAAAGGGATACTCATTTAAAACTAATTTGTATATAATTGGTAAATTGTATATGGCCATGTAATTAAGTTGAAACTTGATTAGGGAGGGTAATAAAGTTTCATATGCAGTATAGGAAGGTAAAAATAACTTCTAGTAATAGACAATGATGTCAAGCATATTAAAGTTCAAAATCACCTTAATAATCAAATGAGATCACAGGGATCTCGTAAGGGGCCTCAATCTACAATAGTCACGGGCGGAACTCTAGAACTCCCAAAGAGACACCCTTGGTTGAGCAACATCCATAAGAGAAAAACCAGAGAACTTGTTATTTCTGCACAGAAAAATCGAATCAAATAGCTTGTGAACAATATCCACCAAAAGGCTGATGAGACTCATGGATGCATACATAATCACATCACTGTTAACGTAAACACGGATAGAACAGTCAACAAAGCCATCTTTACAAACGAAACCAAACAGTGAACAACCCCAACAAAGATGTCTCAGACGCTCAATTAGTTAGCACGATTCACTTCATTGATCAGCTGATGGGTTTGTTAACAGCTCAAGTGATTTTTTGAGGTAGTCTACGGCGATAGAGACATCATCAAATGCCAGAGCCCCAACAGCAAACCTTGCAGCCTTGTGTGCTTCAGCTATTTTATCCGGAGGAGGCTGGTAATTGCTGTCGTATTCATATGATTTGGTGGGAGCAGCTGCAGCTTGTGATGCAGTCCCATTTCTATCACTTGAACTGTGTTGAGTGTTTGATGAAAACTTTGCAGTGCTTGATGCAGCCAATGTGGAATACGAAGCATCAGCGCCTTGGTAGTAAGAAGGGTGATGTGATGGCGCAGAAGGAAGGCTGCTCTCCATAAAGCTAGGATATGCCTGGAAATTGGGATATGAATACAAGGGAACATCATGCGAAGGGTAGTGCTGTGGCAAGTGAGACTGTGGTTCTTGCACATAAGGTTGATGGTGATACGACGGAGAGTAAGACGGATTTTCAGATATATTAACTGATGGAGTCCGCTGGAAATTATGAGAAGAATAGTCATTATGAGAAGAATACTCATCACTAAAATATGAAGGAGGTGATGGAGGGATATGTGGAGGAGGAGTTGGTATGGTGGCTGCCGGAGGTGACGGAGGGACACGTGAAGGAGGAGGTGGTGGGTTGGCTGCTGGAGGAGACGGTCTATTTGCAGAATAATGCGCATCGTCATGTACGTGACTAAATGAATCCGATTCTGGTCCAGGTTTGATGACTGAATCGGATTCTGGTGCGGGTTTGATGACTGAATCAGTTCCACCAGGTTGAAGATCCTGCAAAGATGCTATGGTCAGTTAGCCATGATAGCTTGCAATTACTGTCTTTAGATGCTCTAGAGAGGAAATAGTCATTGCAAGCAAGAAAATTAAGCAAAATAATTGCTCAACTGTTTAAAGGTTTAGTCCCTAATCCATAAAAGACGCAATAAAAATTAATTTAAACAGAATCGGAAGGGAAAGGCTCAAAGTTCAATATCTTAAACTGTTAACAGGGAAACAAACACTAAGGTGAGAATCTTTCAGTATTCCTAAAATCAAGAAATGCTTAACATCTACTTTAAGGCTTTTCACCCATTGACAGTGTCATGAAAGCTGCCTCCCTATGTCCCATTGTTTTTCATCTACCGTTATAAGCAGAATGGTCTGTGTTCACAGATGCAAGACAATCAGTGGCAATGCATGACTGTCACTAGTCTGCCTCTGGAAACTTTTGAGATAGAATAATACACTTGTCCAACAAATTATCAAAAGCATGAACCTTACATATGTATCATTTTGTGCACTGGACAGCTCCGAAATATCTCTTTCATCACCAGGAGGGCCTGGTACAGGCTTCCTTCCTTCTTTCAAAGCTTTCCTTATATCTGCTGCCTTCCAAGCTGCATACTTCTGTTTCTGCTCAAGCTGATGATATAATAAGGTCAACCAATCAGGCAAACAGAGGCTACATAACTAAATACGTTCTCTATTACATATAGACACATGTGAGGATATAGCTGGAAAAGTAATTTTTTGCATAATCAGGTATCATGACAAAAAGATTAAAATAAATAAGAGCTAACGGAGAGACAGAGAGAGAGATTAAAACTTGTCACAACACGATGGAAACTCACATCCGGCTGGAGTTCACCAAACTGATTAAGGATCTCAAAAAAGATACTCGCGGCATAAAATGTCTTCGCTGTATTCCTGTAAAACTCCAGTCAGTCATTGTAAAGAAATTACTAATTCCTAATCATCAATAGAGAAACAAGCTCCTATAACAGCTAACAAGCTTCAATACCAATTAACAAACAAGTATCTAAATCAACTTCTTTTACATTTAGTATCACCAATTAAATATGTTGTACAGGACAGTTGAAGCATAGCTAAGGTCAGAAACAGCCACCATATCAGATGTTTAAACTAATTAACATAAGAGCGAATGGAGCAATGGAAAAAATCTAGAAGATGAAGCAAAATCTGTCTACTTTGAAAAGGCCAAGAGATCAAAACAGAGGCTGGAGAACGGCTGGTAGTAAGCATCTACTCTTAACTATGTCTTATTCCATGCAACATGAGGTTGGCACATCTAAACCAGATAAAGCAGCCAAGATGGATCTTGTTTTTTAAATCAGTGCAGTCAAGAACTCAAGATGGCATCTTTACTGAATGACAAGGTAGTACGACTGATCACATATGAGAAGAATGATGCAAAGTGAAAAACAAAAAGGTGCTTATCACATAAATAACAAAATTCTCACAAGTCTGCTCGCCCAGCTCGATCTTGTTTATCTGCCTTTGCAAAAACATTCAACGCAAATCCCTCCACATGCAAATGATCATCGGGCCCCAATTCCAATGACTTCTTATCCTGCAGAAAGAGAGCAACAGACATGACACAGAATAAGACAAAAGCCACACCAAACATAGACATCAAGCAGATTACAAGCCACGAGCTCACAGAGTAATGGCCATTTAGTGAGACTGGTAGATGTGTTGCTTCTAAAAGACTAACGTTGGCTGATCAAGCCGATAAAGTTAAGCTAAAACAACAAGATAAGATTATATACCAGAACAATATTCTTTTTAAAGTGCATGGAAGTCAAGGGGATACTAGCCAAACATTTAGCTTTCAATCGAGCTGGAAAAAGCTAAACTTATATGCCAAGATATGTTTATAAACAAAACAAACTTCTGTTTACACTTCATGAAGCCAATTATATGCTACCCAAACAATATGCTAGTTTCTACTCCTTGAGCAAAATTTATCACATAGTGATAAGGACATCAGTTCTCAATGTTTAAATATCAGTCAATCAATCAATAAACTATTCCTCAATCCCAAATTAAATTACTTGGAGTCTGGCTATATGAGTCGTCTGGCAGTATTTAATCATAGAAGGCCATTTTACCACTAGCTGCCAATATTCAAGAAGCTAAAGTAGACGAATTTTTGATGTTACATGAATATATCACCCAACCATATTTCTAAACAAATCAATCTTACAGAGCCAAGAAATATCAACTGAGTAAGAAAAAGGGATAAAAAGGAAACCTTTTCGAGTTGATTAATAAGGGAAACAAGGAGGGAACTAGTGGTCTTTGTACGCTCTTTTTGAGGAATCTTCAACCCTCGCTCCATTGCGTACAACCGACCTGCCACAAATATTTTCATATATAATCTCAATTAGAGACAATTCTAAACCAAATTATATGAACAAAGGAAAAGTATGGTTTTCAAAATAAAAGTTACAGTAGTAGGCAACGAGGGGTTCGTGTTTCTGCAACTCATCGGCGCGTTGAAGGCAAGGTAAAAGCAGCTTTGCCGGTTCGTTCTCCTTCGACATAGCCACTTCTACAACCTTCGATTTATCACAACTTCAGTGTTTTGCGCCTAACAATTGACACCATCTTTCTTATTGTTGTTGCTGATATTTCTATGCAATTTCGCTTCCCTTCTCAACTAAGGAAAAGGAAGCATTTTCTTTTCTTTTCCCAGGAGAAATTTATATGATTACCAAAAATAGAAATTCTTCGAAGTTTCTAAAAAAGTACTCCTACGTAAATTAATACCCCTCGACGCCTCCGTTTTCTTTTATCTAATACCGTCTCCGGTCTATTTTCTTTTATTTATCCATTATATTAAAAATATTTTTTAATAAATTAAGAGAGAATTAATAATTTATTTTTGATTTATTCTTACTATTAAGTAATTATTTCTAAAACTAATCGGAGTGCTAATAGTCAAATTTAGATATCTACAACACCATTGGTAATGATATAATTTAATAAAATAAATATGTATACAGTCAAAATCGGGCTTGTCCTGGAACATGGCAGGCCAAGGTTCGACCCCATGCTATATCAGACCGTGGCGTAAAGATATATTCCCGAGCTCATGACCCAAAGATCGATCAAGATCGAGGTCGGCCAAGATCGAAGCCAGGCAGGATAGAGATCGAGCAAAATCGAGGGAAGCTTACCGAGCCAAATAACAGAAAGCCGAAATATCCGCAATCAGAAAGAGGCTGGTTAATTAGCTAATCATGGGATTTCATACTGTATTTAGAATTGTACCAAGGGTAGGACTCCTCTACTATATAAAGGGGAGCTGATCATTTGTAAAGGGATCACATTCACACAATATAAAGCAATATACTGTCTTTCTCTAGTTTTCATTATCTTGTTACTTTGTTCTTGTATCAACTGAATCTTCACTTGGTTCAAGGGTGATTGAATTCGAGGGCCAAGGCTATTTGATTCGTTTGGTTTGCATTTGTTCCTTTACAGTCAATTTCAATATCAATTTACGTTTTTCTCAGTTTTGTGCCAAGTAAAATCACGTGTCCTTTAAACCGCATATAAATTCAATTATTATCCGTTTTTAGGGTAAACAATTTGGCGCCCACCGTGGGGCTAAGGATAATAGTGATTAACAGGTACAAACTTTCGTGACACACACTATTTTACACTTGTTCTTTGAAGTATCTTTGATTACAGGATTAAAAAATGTCGAACTCCCAGGCAGCACCTCATCACATCGACAATGATCTCGGCCACCACGGCGAAAATGAGAATATTGCACCAGGAAACATTGTACCCTTGTTGGCCTCGATGGAATCCCCGATGTAGATCCAATCAACGTTAGTTCGCATGTAGCCATCAACGGAAATCTGGTCGTCGATCCCGAAAGCAGCCTCCGCGGGGGTGCTCGATTAGCTACTCAAAGCGCGCATGGCGGTGAGGATGGCGGGATCAGCCTACGAGTGATCTTCCAAATGTTGCAGGCTCAGTAGGTAGCAATAGCCCAGCTCCAAAACCAGAACCACACGCCGAGCAGGGTAGAACTCGAGCCATCCCAGGAAATTGTACACAGGGTCGAATCAGTTTCGAAGAAATCGAACGAGAAGGAATCGGAGACCAATCTTGCTATCATGAAAATGCTCGAAGAACTGATAAAGCGGATTGAGACAGAGGAAAAGAAGATCGAGGAAAACGATAAGAAGGTGGAAACCTATAACTCCAGGGTCGATCAAATCCCAGGGGCACCACCGATATTGAAAGGACTAAATTCCAAAAAGTTTGTACAAAAACCTTTCCCCCCAAGTGCGCCTCCGAAACCAATCCCCAAGAAGTTCCGTATGCCTGAGATTCCTAAGTATAACAAGACGACTGATCCAAACGAACACGTCACCTCCTACACGTGTGCTATCAAAGGGAATGACTTGGAAGATAACAAGATCGAATCCGTCTTGCTGAAGAAATTCGGGGAGACTCTATCGAAGGTGCTATGATATGGTATCATAATTTACCGTCTAATTCCATTGACTCGTTTGCTATGCTTGCAGATTCTTTTGTAAAGGCACACGCTGGGCCATTTAGGTCGCAAAAAAAAAGTCAGACCTTTTCAAGGTAAGGCAGAAGGACAACGAGATGCTCAGAGAATTCGTATCTCGATTCCAAATGGAACGAATGGATTTGCCACCGGTCACCGACGATTGGGTTGTTCAATATTTCACTCAAAGGTCTCAACGTTCGAAGCTAGTGGCTTCACAGCAATTGAAGCAGAATTTGATCGAATACCCAGCTGTCACTTAGGTCGATGTGCACAATCGATACCAGTCGAAGATCAGGGTCGAGGATGATCAACCGGGGGCTCCTTCTGGATCTGTTTATCCTATCAGGCCCATAGATAGAATCAAGAGGGATATTGATCGATAACCAAGGTCAAATAGAGATCGATATCAATAGTATAATAGAGACCGTAGATGCAGCGGATCTGAGCGAAATTCTTCACGGAGTGAGAGGAGAAATGATCGAGGTCAAAGTTCACGGGGACTTAGTACTGAGGAAGGTCACGTTAAACACCCGATATCCAAACGAAGGAAAATTTGGACCGAACTAGGAAGGGACGTACCAAATTCTTGGGATCACAGCTACCGAACAATTAGAACATAACTCATCTCAAACGATATTACTGTTGAGGTACGACCCCATTTCAACTCTTTCTATTTTTTGACTAACACTTGCAGGTTATCGACAAGGAGCGGCACGAAGCCTTTAGGTCTGAAAGCACGCGTTGCACTCTTTTTTCCCTTGAACCGTTTTTGTCCCAATTGGGGTTTTCGGCAAGGTTTTTAACGAGGCAACATTGGATCGTACTAACTTATAATTGAATGTCGATCATGAATCGGTGTCAAAGACAGCACTAACAGTATTCGAGGTTCCTCTACAATCGACCTTGAATACTGGGGGGCATTGCCCTTGGATGTCAACTTTGTTGCGAGAAAATTACTTCATAATAATAGGGTCTCGATAGGTGAGATTTGTAAGAGCCAAACGGCCAAACGAACCGTGCCCACATATGTTGCTCGAGCCCTGGCACAAAACATGTACGCATATGTAATCATTTTCCACAAGAATAAAGAGAAGTATTTTTCCTTGCAATTATCTCATGTCTTAGAAAAGGTTTTTCTACTTTACAATTCCCCTTTCGATCTATTATGGAAATGATCTCAAGGGCCGATCATAACTAGAGTTTGAATAATCACCCCCACACTAGGGGACTGCCGTCCGAAAAATAAAACTCGAACATATCGAACTATTGAGCGTCGAGGGCATAAGACCTTTTAGGCAACCCTTAAATTTTAAAGGCCATGGCCATACCCACTCGAGGACTGTTGTCTTAGGCAAGCCTGGATAACTCGGGGAAGCAAGATCACTGGGCTACACCCGAACTAAAAGGCTACGGCCAGTTTAACACGGTTCGGAGACGTCCGAAATCCGTAACAAAAATAGGCCTTCAAAAAAGAAAAAATTCTTTCACAACCGGTTCTAAAGGCTACCCTCGGCAGAATCTTAAACTTAAGATATTTTTGGGAGAAAAC